ACAACAAAAAACAAGGTACAGGATCAGAGATTTAGCTCAGTGGTGCCATGCCTGCCTTACAAGTGCAAGGTCCTGAGTTTTATCCCTGATACAGGAAAAAAAAAAAAAAAAAAAAAAAAAAACAGTTAGGAACCAGGAGAGAAGAAAGAGAACAGTTGCTTAAGGCTACAAGAGCCAGAAGAGACCCCTGAAGCCAATAGTCAATACAAGTCAGTGGCATTGCCCGTGCCCATACTACTCTTTGTGAAAGTTGGTCAGGAAGGAAGACCATTCTAAAATGCCAAGGGAAAGTGGGAAGGGCCAGGAAAAGGAAAGAAGGGAAAAGAAAAAATATGAGAAAAGGAAAAAATGGAAACAAAGTAAATAGGGGAGGGTGGAGGGGGTGAAGGGAGGGCAGGGTGTGGGGAAAAAATGAGAACCAAGATCTGTCATGTAAAGGTACAAAATCCCAGTGATAAATGTAACTGTACTGTATACCTAAAAAGTATGATTAAACTTAATGAAAAAAAAGTCAAGGGAATGCATTTTGCAGCTAAAAAGTACCAAGAACATCTGATTTCACCTCTATAATTTGTATATGAAGAAATTAAAGCCCACATGGGCATGGTGGTACATATCTAAAATCCAAGCCCTTGAGAAGCTGAGGCAGGAGGATCCCTGTGAGTTTGAGGCCAACCTAGGTTACATAGTGAGTTCAAGACCAGCCTGAACTACATAGTGAAATCCTGTCTCTAAAGAGAAGGGGGAGGGGAAGGAGGGAAAGAAAAAGAAAAAGAAAGAAATTAAGGCCCAAAGGCCTTACCCAAATCAAGCTTCTGGTTTATGGGAGAGCCAGGAAAATCTAGATTCCCTGGGCCCAAAATTCTACTATCCTGGATGTTACAAACTTAGGCAGCCTGATAGCAGGGCATGGTGGTGCACGCCTGTAATCCCAGCACTCGGGAGGCTGAGGCAGGAGGATCACTGTGAGTTTAGACCAGCCTGCGCTACATAGTGAGTTCCAGGTCAGTCTCAACTATATAGTGAGACCCTGTCTCAAAAAAACAAAAACAAAGACAAAAAAGCCTAGGCAGCCTGTATTCCCAGGTATGGGTTCTTGTTTTTAATTTACTTAGTGTTTTGTAAAAATTGTGAAAAAGTTTCCTACACTGGGGAGGGGGGG